GGGGGGGGGAGGAGGTGAGGTGAGATGCTCTACTTTTTTCCCAAAATGTAGACCGTCCTATCTCGTCTTGCTTCGAAATGGATTTTCTTTTAAAGGATAGTAAGTACCCTTTTTGTGGAAAACAAAGTGTCCCTTATTCCTATGCCTTCGAAGATAAAATTCAACCTTTGAAGTTGTAGATAGTAAATGCAGACATGCCAAAAGGCCAACAGTGGCGACAACCACGATAGTAACAACAACAATATGGGTGGTTAGCGGGTGCTCTGGTACATGGTGCGGTTTGCTACTTCTTTCATCCTATCAAACATCTATCATTCTTATTTCTCCTTCTTTTTATGTTTGTTACTGTCTTCTACAACCTTTAATCTTCGATACCTTGTTGTGTTACAAGTGCCGTAATACTGTTACTATAACTATAACAACAATAGTGACTGCAAAAGCTGCTAGTAGAACTACCGTTTACTACTTACAGACACATACACCACGGTACCTCACACAAAGACTTTTTACTCGTGCCAAGACCACGACATCTGTCGTATTTGCTCATATCCAAAACCATGACAGAGTGCATGCACCCTCAGTTTTCAGTGACTGCTTCGTTAACTCAGTTAATATCATGTTAGACTTCGGTGCGGTTGGCCCTGGTTCCAAACCCAGAAGGAGCGTTCTTGAACTCGGGTCGTTTTGTGGAGTTTTCAAGTCTCTCAATCTATTTGTCCTCGCTAGGTCCTATCGGATACGGGCATTAAATTCGGAAGTCCGGCCGCCTAAATAATCTATTAGTGTTGATAGGGGCGTTAAAACCTGTACGCTTACACTCACACTGAGTCTTTAGTTCTCTCTGACTTTTGTTGTATCTTTAATGTCCTATCTGTTACGTAAGTAAGGAACGTAAAACACCGGCCCCGCGGGCTATTGACAAGACTGTTTGCTGGCCTATAAGTTAAAGTCCCCGGTGAAAGCTTGAAAACTAGCCTGAACTGCAAACGATCGTAGCTTGCCAGTGTCTGGGACGGACGCATAAATTTTCATGTTGTGAAAGGTGATCTCCCGGAGAGTCTACATATTTGTTTTCCGTAGCTTTTGATAAATGTTGTTAGGATTTTGTGTGTGTGTGGGTTGGTTTAGGGAGG